AATAATAATAATAATAATAATAATAATAATAATAAATTCTCATAAATTAATAGAAAATTGTGAGATCTAGGCTATCTCATATAAAATTAGGGATAAATTATCTTTAATGATCAATATCAATGAAATTTTATTATATAAAATTAATTTTTAAAATTACATATTAATCTAAAATTTTAAGATATTGGATCTATATCTTTTATCACTTAAAAAAAAGAATTCAATATTCTTTTTTTCATCCAATGTAATAATCATTACTCAACTTGACACAATAAAATTTTACTACTCAAAATCAAATTATATATTCTTTTTTTATTCTTTTTTTAAATCAAAAGAAATTTCAATAAATAAAAACAAAGTAACTAAGATATACAAGGGGGACCAAACCAATATCCTCTTAATATTACTTTTTCTATTTTATTTTAATTTTTTAAAATTTTATATTAATATGTAATTTTAAATTTTTTATTTTATATAATAATATTTAATTAATACACGTCATAAAGTATAAATTATCCCTATATTTATAAAGGGTAGTCAAAAGTTTACCATACAAAATTATCAAATTTCATGAATACATAAATAGTTAAAAATAAAGTTTTTATTCATAGAAACTTAAAGATAATAATATTTAATAAAAAAATATATTTTAATTATTGATTACTTAATTCTTTAAATATATATAGAAAAGGTAACATTTTACCACTTTATTTGTTCTAGAGGCTTTTGGAATCATATCATTCTCAGATGTTAGATTTTTTTAATAATAAAAAAAATTATATTATATATTAAGAGACATATTTTTAGTTTCTGCCGATTTAAATTAAAGTTGAGAAAAGTTTTAAGTTTATCTTCTTATCTTTTACTCCCTTTTACCAATACTTATAAAATTATATAATTTTTAATTATTTATATTATCACTCATTTTTAAATTATAATGTTTTTAAATGACTCATGCATTTCACATTTATATATTTTTTATTCATCAAATGTGTGTAAGAAACATGTGAATCTCACATAATTCACGTTTTTAGGTGAATAATTTTGATTATCTAACACGAGGTTTGGTGTGTAACAAACATGAGAAGTAATAACTGATCATAATTCCTCTAAAAACTGATGTTTTTGTGCATTTGGACATTCATAACAACAAAAAAGTGATAAATTTCACGCTATGCTTACACACAAATATTATTTCTTTATTTTTTAATTGAAGATTATTATCTTTGTGAAAAGAAAAAAAAAACAAAAATATATGACTTATTCGTTTACTTATCAATATTTATATAATTTCACTAACAAAACTGTAATTTTTTACATTCTCCAAAATAAAGACAACAATAAATATTGATAATTTCACAACAATAATTTAATATCAATAATTTAACTTCTATTTTCCTAATGTCAATCAAATAAAATTTTGTTCTCTTCCTAATTCTTTTCACTCTCTTTAATAAACCAAAGTTAATTTTTTTTCTTTATTTTTCTTTTTAACTTTCCGTTTCCCTTTTAAATCATTTTCATTATTGACCACACATTTTATTTTCTCATTATTTAATTCACAACTACTTCCTTTTTTTTCTTTTATAAGAAAAAAGTTGGGAAAAATAACTCATTTTTTGCCAACAAAAAAAGAATAATTCAATGACGAAAAAGCTTGTTAACTATGACTCAAATCAAAATTAAAAAATAATAAATTTAATTTATATGCACTTATAATATAAAATTATTTTACACTATCATTTAATAAAAAAATAATAAATAGTTTTATCATTAAAAGAATTTTAAAATTAAAATATAATTTATTTTGATATAGTAAAATTAATTTATATATCAGCATATTATTATTTTTCTCAAAAATAATTTTTTAAGTATTCATATTCTAAGTACTTTTGAAGGACAAAAGAATAATTTTACAAATATAATTTTAATTATTTAAAATCATTTTTTATAATTGTGGTCCAAACTTATTTTATTAATCAGATTAAGACGGAAAAAACTCAAATTCATGCATTGAAGTATATCAATTTATTTTATTAATTGGATTAAAACGAAAAAACTCGTATTCACGCCTTGAAGCATATCAAACAGATAAAATCAAACGATTTTAATTGATACTATTTTATATAAATTTTACGATGAAAATTAAATCGTTAATATCATCTTTAACAACGTATAAATTTTAGCGTCACATTACAAAACAAAACACATCCTTAAAAAAAAAACACAAAAACAAAAACAAACCCACTCTCAAACACCGTCTCTAACCTTAACCCAACACCAACCCGCCACGTAATCAACCATTCATTCACCACCGTTTGATCATAAATCAACCCTCAGTAATTCACAACCTTTAAAGTGGGACCATTCAACTTCAACTCTATATAAATACACATACACATAGATAGTTACACTCTACTTTCTCTCTCTGTCTCTATCTCTCTCTCTCTCACATCATTTCACAAATATTTCTCTCTCTTTTTCTCTCTAAGAATCTGCAAAAATGTGTGGTGGTGCTATCATCTCAGATTTCATTGGTGTCAAGCGTGACCGTGACCTATGGTTTGAGCTTGATCCTTCTGTTGATCTACTTGGTCTCGGTGCTGCTACTAACACCCCCACTGCCAAAGATTTACCTCCCCTTCACTTTCCACAATTTTACTCACCCAAAAGAGGTACCAATAACTACTATCACTTCCTCTAGATACTTCGAATGTTTCTATTCAATTTTTTTCATCATGCATATGCTTATTTTCTCAGTTATGCTTCATGATTTTCTGGATTTAATTTTATTTACTTTAAAAAATAAAAAATAGTTGCAATAAAAATATTCTTTTTTCTAAAAATAAATTAATGTATTTTAATTGTATTTAAAGTATATAATAAAAAATATAGTAGTTTATTTTATTGTATATACGATGGCACTTTATTTATTTATACAGACAATTTTATTTCACTTTTTAGTGTTTGGTAATCAGTACTAGATGCATGAAAGCTGTACTGTTTCTAGAACAGGTTTTATGGAAAGTTCAAGAATTTACCTTTTTACATAAAATAAATTAACAGAGACGTCAATTTTGTTCAGGCACGTTTTCCTATGTTATTTAAAACAAAAAGTTAAAGAAAAGTAAATTTTTTAAACTTTATTTATGGAGTATCAAAAAAAAATAAAAGTCTTTTTTTTGATATCATCGATTAAATACAACGTTTCTATCAGATGCGATGTAACTAAAGATGCTTCGAAAATATTAGCTAGGAGTGAGTCAGCAACACGCCAACACCAACCACCCCCACACACATCAAGAAGAGAAAATATATAATAATAATTTTTATTTATTTATACAATTAAATTTTTTGGTAAAAGAAATAATATTTTATATTTTATTTTTTGAGGTGTCACGTGATTGTTAACGCAACAGGTTTTGTGTTTGGCAGTGGTAGCATGTGACATTGCGGAGAAGAAACAAAGTTTGGTAACTGTAGAGAAAGGTAAGAAAAGCAGCGGAGGGAAAAGAGCTCGTAAGAATGTTTACAGAGGAATCAGGCAGAGGCCATGGGGGAAATGGGCTGCTGAGATAAGGGACCCACAGCAAGGTGTCCGTGTCTGGCTCGGTACTTTCTCGACGGCCGAAGAGGCCGCCAGAGCGTATGATGCCGCCGCGAAGAGAATTCGCGGAGACAAGGCTAAGCTTAATTTTCCAGATGCTCCTGTTTGTTATGCTGCTAGAGCTGTCACCGCACCTCCAATGAAGAAGCGGTGTGTTAGCTATAATTCTGATCAAGTCAGTACGCAACAGACTAGTTCTGAGTCTGCTGCGTCGTCTGAGTTTGATCAGGAGATGGAAATCAAGAAGAAAATGTCTGATCTTGAATGGATTCTAGGTTTGGAGAATGAACTTCCTCAGTTTCCTCAGTCTCTTGTTCAGACTCAGGCTCAAGCTATGCCTACACCGTTCACTATGCCTGCTGATTTCGACAACAACTTCCTCGACGCATGGACCTTTGAAGAAATGGTTGATCCCATCCATAACCTGATTTTTAACTAGGGTTAATAATGAAAAAACTGTTGCACAAATGAAACATCTTTTGGTGCTTCATTATTATTATTACTATGCTTATGTTTAAAGTTTTGTGACTGTATAAACTATGTGGTTTGCAAACTTAGTACGGTGTTGTCTTTGTTTCTGTCTTGGATCTTGAATGATTAAAATTATAAATGTTGCGGATTTTTGTACTTGTGAATATGATTACCATCCATAAAAAAAAGTAGGTAAGGTTTCTGAAAGTGTGTTTTGTTAATATTTATCGAAACAATTTTTGGACACTATTTTTCACATCAAACGCCATATAAATTTATAGAGCTCGGTTGAATATGATTATTATTCATAAATAAAATGTAGTTAAGGTTTTTGAAACTGTGTTTTGTTAATATTTACAGTTTTTAGACACTATTTTTCACATCAAACACCATATAAATTTATGGTACACTTTTGAAAGATCGGTTGATAATTGTGCTACAAATAGTTCACTTGATAGTTGTATTAAAATATCATACAGTTTATCCAGTTCAGTTGATATAGCTGTGCGAACACATCTGAAACAATCATTGAATGATAATATATTTTAGACCATGTTTACAAATGGTGTTAATTATTTTGTGCATAAATAATATTTTGGTATTAGTGTTTATGTTATTAATAATTTTTGTTGAGTGTGATATATAGTATATATATAAATATAGTGATTCTTGTCGTTTATGTATGAAGTGAGTTTATCAAACATAGGATATTGATTGGGATATCTTGGAAGGATGCATTGAATCTGATACCTAGTACTGTTAGAAGAATAATACTATAGATTGTTAGTGATGCATGTTTTAGTTAATTATTTATTTAAATCACTTGTTGATATAAGTTATTGTATTTTAACATAAATAAACTATTATCAACGAATAATTTGGAGTAATTGTCAAACAAACAAATTCTTGGAGGTGCAAGTGCCATATATATATAATAAGCAAAAGCAACCGCATCAAGGTGATTATGATTTTAATCATTATGTATTTTATAAAAATTGTTGATATAAAAATAAAGTAAAGGTTGTTTGATTATATGTTTTTTCACATATTAGTATATTTTTTTATTGGGCTTACAATTGTTATTTTAACTTTGTCATGTATTTTGTAAGTGAATTTTACCATTAGAATAGGATAAGACATAAGTGGTCGAGAATAGTTAGAGAATGTTATGAAAGATAACAAGATTGTAATAGAAAATGGAAACTTCATTTTCAATATTCTTAAAATGAAAATACAAAGCATTTCATACTCTATTATGGTATTAATTGCCATCGTTCCAACCAATCTTCTGCTGCTCACACTTACATTAGTTCGTCTTCTCTGAGCTTCAGAAGCAAAGCTCGCCCCTTTTTCGTTACACGTTTTCTTTTCTGTTACAAGATCATGTTGTAAAGCTTCTGAGAAGCTTCATCCATGGCTGCATCACCGGCAAATTCGGAATCGCGACCACAACACACGGTAACACAGTTATCATCGTTCGCTAATGCATCCAACCACACAGTATTTGTGTAACACTCCAATTCTACCTCAAGCAATTTATGCAAAATAAATCAGAATTATAAAATTTCAATCATACAAATGAATCGGGACGTCACAAATTCTTCTAACAAATTCATTGCATTCATCGTGGATATATAACACTTTTTCAAAACGTCGGATGAACTAACAACATAATATCTTTCATTAAATATTCAACAACTACGCAGCAGAAATCTTCAATAACATCTTTAAATAAAACAGAAACTTCGAAACATCTCATACTTAGTAAATAAACAATTTAAGGTTCAACAACTAAAAATCAGCAATTAAAAATCAGCAAGCGTTTATCCCCCCGAGTGTTACATATCAGAGCAATGACACTGACTCGATCTATTGAAGGTATACGATCTTCACTCTCGACTACCTGCACGTTACCAACATAAGGGCAACATTGAAACAGAAGGGGTGAGATATCTAACAATATAATAAAGCGCATGATAATTAATATATTAAATTAGATCACCACTTCTCATCTCATAATCAACACAATTACAGCATATATATCCATTCATCAACATCAAATACATTTCATTATTTAATCATAAAATGCGACTCAAAACTATGCAAATGCATGTGGTACCATTGGAGCAGAACTCCCATCTCAAAAATCTAATCTGTCAATTAATAGAGGCATCAATAAGGCATAGCCTTCATCTCAAAATTTTCCAATTCAGGCCATCTCAACGAGCATAAGCTCCATCTCAAAAAATGCAATGTATGCGACTCAACATGAATGTAATAACACACTCAGTTAACAACATCTCAAAAGACATCTCAAAACAACAACATCTCAATCATCAAAACGACAACATTTCAGTCATCTCAAACAACAACATCTCATAAACATCTCAGAACAACAACATATCATAAACATCTCAGAACAACATCTCAAAAAAATTTAGTAAGCATTACTTATTTATCAAACATCATTTGATTAACCACATCTTACTAATAACTCAGTTGTATATCAATAGTAAAGTAATCCATATTGTTATTCTGCTACTGCACATCATTATTATCACTAAATCCTACTGTCATAATTCTAACAGCAGCCTCTAACATCTCATTTTCATCAATTTGTCCTAAAAATAGCACAACGGTCATCTACGGGAATTAATTCTAAATCCTAAATTAGTTACTGGGATTACACCTCTTAATCATCATTTTAATCTTCTAGAATAATATTTATTGCGTTAACTAATCAACGCTTTGAACGACATCTCAAACAACATCCTAAAACTCAAGTTACAGTAATTAGAAGTCAATTCTGTCAAAAATCAGACCTTATGTATCGACACAAAACACTATGGGTCGACACATCCTGCTTCATCTGCTCACTATGAGTCAACGCATTCTCCTTATGGATCGACTCATCCTGACTTCAAATCCCAGCATGTATCGACACATGCACTTACCGATCGACTCATCCTGACTTCAAAATGCAGCATGTATCAACACATGCATCGCATCGGTCGATGAATCCTGAGTCTCACACACTCATGTATCGACACATCCTCTGCATGCATCGACTCATCCTGAGTCCAACAACCTCCTTGCATCGACTCATCCAGTTTGAGGTCGACGCATCCTGCGATTTTCTGCATAATTTTCTGCGTTTTCTACTGTATTTTCACTACTGGGATCTAATTACAGTCCTACAAACCTCATCCTAACCATGATAATTCATCACTTAACATTAACTTATAATACAACATCGATTACACAGCATCATAACATCATTTATCCATCGAGAATTCATCAATGTTCACCATACATCATTCAATTCAATAACAAAAACAACAATCCTCTAATCCCACATATCAAACATCATGAACCCAATTATAAAGTCAGAACCCCACCCTTACCTTGGATCGAAGGTCGCTCTACAATTTCTGGGTTGAATCTTTGTTCTTGCCGTTTCCTTCAAAAACCAGCAGCTTCACGTTCTCCTAAATCCTTATTTCTCTTCTTACTGCTTCTTTCTTCTATTCTAACAACAAATAATAAAATAACCTAATATTATTATATTATTCCTTAATGGGCTCCAAACTTACACCCCCCTTAATACTTCCACTCACACCATATAGGCCCACATTAAATAATATTAGCTTCTAACATTATTTCACATAATAATATAATACCTCAAATATATTATTCTTTCTCCATTTAATAAAATAAGTCCAATTTAATAACACTTCTTCACAATTATTCCAAAAATAATTTAATTAAATAATTAATTAAATTACGGGCGTTACAACTCTCCCCCACTTAGAATATTTTCGTCCTCGAAAATTTACCTCAATTAAACAATTCTGGATCGGAGTCTCGCATCTTGCTCTCCAATTCCCAAGTCATGCTTTCACCAGCAGCTCCTAACCAAACCACTTTAACCAAGGCAATCTCTTTGCCCCTCAGAGTCTTCATTTCACGATCCGCGATCCTTACAGGCATCGTCTCCACCGTAAGATTATCCCGTACTTGCACATCATCCATATAAATCACATGAGATGGATCTAAAATATACTTCCGAAGTTGCGACACATGAAACACATCATGCAAATTCGAAAGATTAGGAGGTAAAGCCACTCTATAAGCAACATTCCCCACTCTCTCTGAAATCTGATACGGTCCAATAAAACGAGAAGTGAGCTTCTTAGACTTCAACGCTCGCCCAACACCAGTCACATGTGTAACTCTCAAAAACACATGATCACCAGCTTGAAATTCTAAATCCTTCCTTCGCTTATCATGATAACTCTTCTGTCTACTTTGTGAAGCTTTCATCTTTTCCCGAATCAACTTCACCTTCTCAGTAGTCTCACGAACAAGTTCAGGTCCAAGTACTACACTTTCACCAGATTCATGCCAACATAACGAAGTCCCACATCTTCGACCATACAACGCTTCAAAAGGTGTCATCCCAATACTAGAATGGTAACTGTTGTTATACGGTAACTCTATCAATGGAAGATAAGTATCCCACGAACCTCCCTGCTCGAGAACACATGCCCTCAACAAGTCTTCTAACGATTGAATCATCCGTTCAGTCTGACCATCTGTCTGAGGATGATACGCTGAACTCAACCTCAACTTAGAACCCAACGCTTCTTGCAAACTCTTCCAAAAATCAGAAGTAAATCTTAGATCTCTATCTGGCACAATGCACAAAGGAACACCATGCAGCTTCACAATCACACTAATCTCAGCCAACTTTGACACTGGAAAACTGATGTTAATAGGAACAAAATGAGCTGACTTCGTAAGCCTATCAACAATCACCCAAATTGAATCATGTCCTCTTGAAGTACTAGGCAACCTCGTCACAAAGTCCATTGAAATGCTATCCCATTTCCATTCTGGAACTTCCAACGGTTGCATCAATCTTGCAGGCTTCTGATGTTCAACTTTCAACTTCTGACAAGTCAAACA